TTTGAAGTAAATGAGATTTTTAAAAGTCCCGCTGTAGTCAATTATTTTATCTGTTAAAACTCATCTTTTATCACAAAAGTAATCTGCACAGTGTACACATTATACTTTTTTCCTTGAAAATAAAACTTTTCATGCCTTAAAATAACTTGAATGTACAAACTCTACACCCTTAGGCCCCGTCCACACTACTGCGTTTTCGTTTAAAAACGGAGAATTAAAACGAATACGATCTCCGCCCACACCAGCGTTTTGTCTGCGTATTAGAATTGATCTCCGTCCACATTAAAACGACTGAAAACGCGGATCACGTGACCATTCACCAACACTGGGCATGCGCGCGCCGGTGTAAACAGTGGTTGGCGAATCAGGGCGTCATGACTGATGACACCCAATCATAGAGCCGAGCGTGAGCCTCTGCGTCATCGTTTGTAAACTCCTCCGTTTTGTCTCGTCCACACTAAAACGCCCGGAGTTTCAAAACGCAGCTGCAGCGTTTCTAAATTTCTCCGTTTTAGGTCTTCGTTTTTCCCGTTTTAGTGTGGACGGGAGGTGCAAACGTAGCAAAAGGTCTCCGTTTTTAAACGAAAACGCAGTAGTGTGGACGGGGCCTTAGATTGGGTAATTTAGTATACAAGGTTCTATTAATATGTAAATTAGCACCAGCTCAGAGATCCACTCGTTGACATGATTACTTACAACTTACAAGGTAGTTTGTGACGTCAGAATCAGAAACACCAGCTAATTTCATACCGCATTTTTAAGGCGTTCGAAATTGCCCCTAAACCCTCATTTACTCCACTATTCCCTACATTACTCCACTAATATATAGTCCACTTGAAGGAGTGAGTGAATTCGGACTCTGAGTGCGCGGGAAGGGTTGCCGCCTTGGATAGTTTATGCCTGTTTAATAATTAATTGAAACGTAGCAAACTAGTAGCTCCAGTAGTCATGAAAAGATTTATCCTGAATTCTGCTATGGAAACTACTGCAATTAAACAATTTAATAATCAATTAAAAAGGAATATATACCTGTATGATATTACGCTGGACCTGTGCGGTTTGGAAAATGGATGGATGATTGATTCGCTGCGGCACCATCTCCTGGTAAAACGCTGGAATTCATTCAGCATGCGACTCTCGCAGTGTATTATGGGTATTCTCTAGCCATTGCACAACAGTTGTACACTCGTTATTACGGTGCATTATGGGATTGAACGTGTGTACTCGAAAACATCCACTATGGTTTTGGACACCACTACAAATGGCTGTCCCCTCAAATAGTTCCCTATTTAAGGTATAGGGCGTGATTTCGGACACAAGCCTGTCTTTGTTTCACTGCAGTTTTAAAGGGATACTCCACTTTCTTTTGGAAATAGGCTCATTTTACCACTCCCTCAGAGTTAAACAGTTGAGTTTTGCCATTTTCAAATCCATTCAGCCGATTTTCTGATATTTAGAAGAATATCAGTAACCAGACAGTTTCTTTTAGTATATTTTTTTTTCCTACTATGGAAGTCAATGAGACCAGAAACTGTCTGGTTACAGATATTCTTCTAAATATCAGAAAATCGGCTGAATGGATTCGAAAATGGTAAAACTCAACTGTTTAAATCAGGGGGAGTGGTAAAATGAGCCTATTTCCAAAAAAAGTGGAGTATCCCTTTAAGGAGAAAATACTCAGTAATGGTGTTGACTGATGAATTTTCACATGGTTTGTTATAAGCATATTAAAAACACCACATAGACATAACATTAAAAGCTTGCTTTTCACCACAGGGGAACTTTAAAAAAAAAACCCTTTCGCATCGCCAAAGTCGCAAAAATCTGCAAATTGAGATTTATCCATGTTAGATGGAATGATTATTTATGATGGTCATTAGCCTGGACAGAAGCTACTGCATCAATCATCTAAACCTGTGTGCTGATAGATACAAGCCCATGCTTGTTTTAAATGCTGTGATCTTTCACACCCTGGCTTAATGAATCTCAATGAGCTCTCACGGTGTGAGTAGAGCTCATGTCATACACTACACTAACTGAGTGAGTGTTACTCCTCCCCAGCATATTATCATCTCAGAGCTAACGAAAAGCCTAATGAGTGTAATAAGAATGGGGAAACGGAGCACAGACAATGCTCATGGGATGAAGAGGCTCAACGCTGTGATTTTAACTTTATAATTGCTGTAATTGTTGTGCCTTTGTCTCATGATGTTTGCAGAACCCAATGATAAACTCTTCGATCTGGACTCATACTGACCACAACGGACCTAAAGAAGCCACAAAAGATCTGCAATAGACAGTAATGTCATCTTCTATTGACACGTCATGCTAGTCATTTTCATGTCAGTCCCTATGTAGCGCTTACTAATGACTGCACTGTACATTAATGAGTAATTTTAGATGTCTCATGGCAGAAGAATTATAGGCTTTATGCTGCTACAATAAAGCCCCCCATCACACAAACCCCCTTACTCGACTTAGCCAAGAAAAAAGAAACTAATAACTGTCACAGATTGAGACGAAGGCTATAATCAGGTTCCTCCTGTGTTTTAAAAAATGGTTGCTTAGCGCTGTCACCAGTAAAGTGGCTGTGATTTCTAAGATTATTGTGTTTGCTTTTCTTTGTTCACGTTGTGGTTTTTCTTTGTCGGATAAGAACATGCTTATCTATGCTTCATTTACTCAAAAGGAAGGGAGGAATAAGGGGGGCGGAGAAGGATAAAAAATTAAGTATAAATGAGATTAACGTCAATGGATCAAGGGCCACTATTTACAGTAGTTATTCACTATTTATAATAAAATATAACTGTAGTTTTAAAGGTTTGCCACTGTTTAATGGCAATACAAGTTCAGCAGCAGTTAAAGGGCTGATTAAGCATCCAATTAGTTCTTGCTAAACAATTTATTGGAAAATAATGGCTGTGTCTAATATATAAACTGCACACTGTAAATGTCATGAACTGGATTTTGTGCTCAAGTTCAGGATTCACATGTATAATTGCATGTAATGTGCATAGCATGTTCAGAACTAGATTTTATGTGAAGCAACATTATTTGCTAAAAAAAAAAAAAAAATTCCTGTGCAAGAGTGATAAACAGTTTTTAACAATTTTTCTGGTTATGTAAAATCATTTTATGTTTGATAATTAAATGGACAGACTTCTTGCAAATTTAATTACATGATTTAATTGAATTTAATGGTAATTAAAGAAATATTTTATGACAGGCTCACCGTACTCTCACGTTTTCAGGAATTAATCAGGTTAATAAACTGAGAGGCGTCTGCCGAGAGAAAATCTGCTAAAAAATTTTTTATTGGAATAAGAGGCTTTATTCATATCAAGTCCGGATGAAATGGAAGTAGCAGGAGATCCTTTCTTCCAGATTTTGACAAGCCCAGGTGTAACGGATTATCGAAAAATTAAAAAATGTAGGATGGGGACTATGTTCTATCTGTCAGTGTGAGTGTGGCACTCAAAAATGGAGGCAGATGAACTCGAGCTTGAAGGGACAGGGTTTAAGTCCTGCATACATCATTAACATGACGAGAATAAATAAATGAAACATGCACGGATGAATCATCCATAATACGATCAATAACATGCATTTAGAAAGTGCATTAAGGTGAATTTTCATTTCATGCTGACTTAAAGTGTCATGCATAGAGTCTATAAACCTGCATTGTGAATTACATGTATTACCATTAAAAAATGTGATATAATAAATGTGATGATGTCTGCACTAGAATTGGACTTTTTTAGGTTCTGTTGTGTGTGCGCCCTCGTTCACAGTCTCCTCTCGTTTCAGTATAACAAAAAAAATGAAGTGCATCTACTAACACAAAGCTGCATTATTATTTTATGTTTGATTTTATATAATGATGTTTTTCTCTGGCCTGCGTAAGCTATTTTTTAATTTTGATGAGTTTTTCCATTTGTGTTTGTTAGACTCAGCATGATCCACAATTTTATATTTTTCTAGTGTCACTCCCACATACAGTAGGTCATAATACTCTTTTACTCTTGTTGTTTTTTACATTCAATGGGTCTCATTCATGAAACACAAGCAGAATGAATTTGTGTGTAAATGGTGTGTAAAGTGGTTCTGGCGTAAATTTTCGGATTCATAAAAATGTTCATATTTTCCAAATGTTAGTTGGTACGCAAGAAATCTACACCTGCTCCCAGCCACGCGTAAATGGTGCGCTTAACATCCGAAAATTTTGCTCATTAATAAGGCTGCATTTTAACTCACCTTAATCGGGTACATATAAGCATCATTTTGAAAAAAATATTATATAGTAATTTCATACGTTTTTTTCTTTTTACTTTTATTATGGAAGCCAGTAATAGCAGATCTGGTGATCGATGAAACCTTCTCCAGTTTGAATACGATTTTTCCGAAGTGAACTAATTCCTTGCTGTCAAGCTTAATGTCGAACCATTTTCTTCTCACTTCTGGGACTGTTCGATTTACAGATGAAACTCCATTAACTGCATCTGTAATATGCTGCGAAGCTTCCTTTTTTTAGGACCTTATACGCCATTATGTACGCTTGAAAATAAAATGTGGCGTTTTGAATGAACTTCTGATAATAAAACTTCAATTTCTGCATCCGAGAAATCTTTCTTTTTCATTCGCATTTATGTTATTATATGCCTATATATAGATGTGAGTTGGATATAATGGGCGGGATTTATGGCAATTGAGAATGAACGTGCACGCACATCCCATTTACGACTGGTTGGAATTCATTAACACAAACACACACACACACACATTTCCCTATCACATCTGACGTTTACAAAGTATTTGTGAATGTGGAGAAGAGTTTTCGGGAAGGTCTCTTTACGCACAAATCACTCTCATATTTACTCGTATATTTACGAATGTTTCATGAATGAGACTCAATGTCCATTTGATTGCACTGTGAGTGTTTCATTAATGTTTTTTGTGTCCTTTTTGTGTCTGTGTGTGTATGTGTCTGTGTGTCTCACTAGCCTTCGTAACTCTTCTAAATGGTGACCAGGCACAGGACGCCATCCGAACTCTGCACCAGACATCAATCCGAGGCCGTGACATCACCGTCCAGCTTCAGCCCACGGACTCCCTCCTGTGCGTCACCAACCTGCCCTACACGGTCACTGCCGGCCAGTTTCAGGAGCTGGTGCGTTCCTATGGCAACATCGAGCGCTGTTTCCTGGTGTACAGTGACCTTACGGGCCACTCCAAAGGCTACGGCTTTGTGGAGTACATGAAGAAGGACTCGGCCTCCAGGGCACGGTCAGAACTCTTGGGCAAACCGCTGGGTGATCGCGCACTCATGGTGCAATGGGCTGACGTCAACCAGCTGACCTCTGCTGAACACCTCCACTCCAAGTGCCTATGCGTGGATCGCCTTCCGCTAGACTTTGAAGACTCAGAGGAGCTGGCTCACATTTTTTCAGAGAGCTACAAACCCGTCTTCTGCCAGGTGAGATGTGGGGAAAGTAGCAGTGGGTGTTTTTAATCAGGCATTTCACTTCCACCGACATGACTGGAAAATAATTAGTTTATAATACAAATAATTTTGCCTTTGAAGAAGTAAGGGAGATTTTTTTTGAATCAAACAGAGAAATTGTTGTTGCCATTTGCAGTCTTTTAAAGGGATAGTTCACCCCCAAAAATTAGCATTTCATTTACATCTACGACTTTCTTTCTTCTGCTAAACACAAAATAAGTTTGGTATTGTCTCTGATCTTCATTTCAGTCAAAATTGAGGAGGATGCAAACTGTCTGTCACCAGAAAATGACATAAAAACGTGTCAGAATAGAATTGAAATATCAGCTTTTCAGTGTTTTTAATTAATTGAAAAGCACCAGCTCATACATGTTATTAGTTAGAAAATCTGACTTCATTGATCATGCTGTAATTGTTTGATTCACTCAAAAAAATGGGTTCTCAATGTTCATTTGTTTGAGGATGAGACTACATTGATTGCGCTGGAACATTTTGATTCACTAAAAAGAACCATACGAATCATTTGTTCGGTATAATCAAATAACACTGATTGTGCTGTATTTTTTTGATTGACTAAAAATCTTTGAAACGTTTTTGCTTTGACTAAAGTTAACTTTGCAAGTAACTTATTCCACTAACCCTATCCCTCACCCTATTCTAATGAGAATTTGTTGAGATGTAGGCGCAACGTTACTTCTGCGTCATTTGTTCGGTAATTAGACTGAACTGTTTGCACGGCATGTTTTTGATCAGCTAAAAAAGAACTGGCGCATAAGAGCAATTCATTCAGAATTATGACACCACCCTGATTGTGCTGTATGCTTTTGATTTGCTTAAAGGAACCAACCAGCAGATAAGAGTCCTTCATTTGGGAATCCAACTACACTGTGCTGGGTTTTTCTGATTCAGTTAAAGAAATGGCTCATGAGAGTCATTTGCTTGGTAATCAGACTAAACTGATGGCTCTTTGTTTTTAGAAACTAAAAAGAACCAACTCATAATAATTCACCAAAAATGGCTTATATGATTAATTTGTTCATAAATCATTTCATTCTGTTGAGAATAAATGTATGAGAACCATTCTTTATTATGATCTATTTGTACTTTTTTTTTTTTTTTTAATGGACCCGGTTCTAAATACAAACCAGTTTTCTGTTCCCGAACTAGTCATTAGAGAAGTACTAATGATCTGGCTTTATAGGTTGAGTTCTGTTGCCAGGTTTTGTGATGAGGACTTAAGTGGAAACCCTACTTAGCTTTCTCTCGCCAGTGTGTTAATAAGAGAGAGCATTTCGTCATGCAAACCTTCTCCAGAAATCAATACCTCCCAGGAAAACTGCCTTTAAGTGCTGATGCAGGATACGGTTTCCTCAAGCTCCATCCTAATCAAAACCATTAAAGCTAAAGGGCAACACTGACTTTAGATCTGCAGTTAGGGTGAACATCAGCCAACACAGAAATCAATTACGCTACACCCTCTCAATCCCATAAAGCTTTGCAGCAGCATTAAACCCACACCATCTGCTGGAGCGTTGGAGATGCTTCAAGATGCTCTCAGGACTTTGACCTCAAATTGCATCACAGTGCTCTCAGGCCTTTTTAATACTCAAGCTTTGCTTCACGAATCAATAATGGAGCTCTCTGAATATTGCCACCCCCTCCCCATCCCCCCTCTACTGCACAGAAATGAGATGACTCAATAAACTGCGCAAGTGATTCAGCTCATCTGTGTGCAGGAGATGCCGGAAAACAAGATGCAAAATGTGCCTTATGTCAACAGAAAATGTCTCATCAATATTTAAGAAGTTTTAATGATCTAAAAGCTTCTTTCAAAACTGCACAGTGATTAGAAAGAGTGACTCTTGCAATGTTCTCCTAATTGAGGTTCTTCAAAACAGCGGTTTCAATATAAATTTAAAATAGAGTTATTCCAGGGTTTATTCAGTGGTTATCAAACCTTTTTCAGGTGGAGGATCACTTCAATTTTTTATTTAATTTTTTAGACTGGTTTTTGGCTAATTTCATTTAAATAAAATAGCTTATTAACCAGATAAAGTTAAATGATCCAGCTGGCCACTGTTTATGAAGTTTAATCAACATGAAGTTTAATTTGCATCCGCTAACATATAGTTTTCAGTTACTTCTGATGTGAGACAACAGCAAACTATCGAATCAAATGAATTGTTAGTTTATTAATAAGTCATTATTCAAACTACTCGGTAATAGTGCTTATTGGCATCTAAGAATAGCCTACATTTTTTTATGCTTGAAGTATAAAAGAATGTATGCATGATATATATTTTTAGTATTACTATTATGTAATCGGAGATAAGAAGAGATGAATGTAATTTTGATTAAAGATTATGAGGGAATGTGGATTAAAAAAAAAACAATGATTTGCACAGATGAATAATTTATAATAAATACTGCAATATTCTATAAAAAACCCAATATCATCTATTTGACTTCATGGCAAATTTAAATACTAAAATTGTATTAATGTACGCTGTGCACGAAGGAAGGAAAGTCATACTGCATACTTCTGACATGAGGTTGAGTAAATCATGACTTTTACTGGCTTATTTGAAGTGATGACCAGGTAATGTTTGACTCTCCACAGAAGTTTATTTCTCAAAACCATTTTCATCTGATATGAAATGACAACACTCTTGAGTTTAGTTGGCAGGAAATGTCAGCTCCATTATGTGTTTGAAAATGCATATTTTTTTTCTCTCTGGCATCTCACCTACCACTTCGTCTCTCATTCATCTCACAGCCTCCCCCCTCCCTTCTGTCAACTCTTTCCCTTTTGCCTTTCTTTTTGAGAAAGACAGCAGTTATGTTATTAGATGACTCAGCGCGCTCATGATGGGCATATTCTGACCCTAGCACATATAAAGGACACATACTGACAGCTGGACACACACACACAGTGCATCCAGATATGTTTAGGTGGGCGTGATTAATCGAAAAGATTTTTTGTTTTTCCTCTTCCATTCGTTTTTCTCTCTTTGTATGTTCTGTTTGTTTGTCTCCGTGTTTTCCTTTGGACTGGTTTAAAGGTCAACTCATCTGCTGACCTGACACCCTCAGTAGATTTTGAAGGCTGTCATAACACACACACACGCGTCACTTTTTAAAACAACCTCCTGCTTGATGATAAGATGGTAAACGAAGACACATAGAGTAATGTGTTTTTAAAATAAGTTAACATGAATGTTTTATGTTTAAAAATATTTAAATTGATCCCATACAGATTAAGTGATCTGTTTTTTTAATGCTACTGCATTATTAATGACCACATGTGGGTCATTTGAAAAATTTATACATCCGTTTGGGTGTTTGAATGCTTTTAAATGCACCCCTTATTGTTTTGCTTTGTAAGCCCATCTAGATTGGTACAAAGGCGGCATCCGATAGAAAGGGTGAAGGTCTCTGTGTGTTACTGTCTTTCTGCGTTGCAAAGTAATTTAATTCTATTTAAGCTTTTATCGGACACCATTTTATATCTGACTCCATTTTAACATGACCTGGAATTTAGGTTATATTGCCAATTGCCTAAATTATATAATAGGTTGGTCAATTATAATATAGTTTAGCAATACATTTGATTGTTTTATTTAACTATTTACTTATTTGCCCGTTCATATTAGGAAGCTATGTCGCTCAGAGGTCTTCACGCCTTGTTTAACGTGGGTCTCATGATCACAATCTTGTCGGCTTTTTTCTTGTTATTGTGAGATTATGCAAATAAAAGTAGTTGCGAAATAAAGTATTATTATTTTCTGTATGACCAGAAATGATAAAGTATTTTAAGTTGTTTCCACTGTTGATAGGAAAATGGAAGTGCTCACGCCCGCGCCTCCCTGCCGTCCAGTTCGCACACACACTCGAATGCGTCAAAATCTTGTGTTTATTTGTGATAATCTTAGCCCTAGTGTTATTATTGTCCAACCTGTATTATGAATGAAATGTGACGAATTGCTTTATTCCTTTTATGGATAAAAGCATCTTCTACATAGGTAGCCTAATAAATGTTACAATAATGATAATTATTATTATTATTATTATTTGCGGTCACGGACCCAAAACACACCACATCTTCTAAGTCAAGTGACTGAAAATGCGCAAAACCCATTTCCATTGCAGTTTTGTGAAATATTCCTTTTTCGAATTGCCTGAAAAACCTCCTTATGTGAGCGTAAAAACTTTTTCGCGATAAACGGGAGTTTTTGAGAAATTGACGTTTCCATTGAATGTATTTTCCTTTTGCAATTTCAATTTGCGCAATATGATCGGAAATGGAAACCCGGCTACTGAGACATTTCAAATGATACCAAACATGTATAGACCATTTTGCAAGATGTAAACAAAACTGGTCCAGAAGCACTTCCTGTTTCAGTTTTTTAACACTACATAAAAGCTGGGATAAAATACAACCAAAAGAACATATAAAACTGAATCAAATTTTTTTTTACATGTGGAATAAAGAAAACAGTTAGAAACTGAAACAGGAAGTGTTTCTGGACCAGTGTTGTTTACATTTTGCAAAATGGTCTATAATACTTTATGATAGAAATTCACATTAAGCCATATAGATTTTTAGGTGAATTTGGTGATCTCTGCATGTGAGAGAATGTAATGGGGAAAGAGATTTATTCTGAGGTGAGACTTACATCTCAAATGGTGATGCTAACTTCACAAGAGAGAGTTCAAATGTTAATTTCTTTTGGTTTCTCAGAGAGTTGCCCTCTCTCAGTCTTACACTGTCCATTAATTTTTGCACTGCTTTTATTTTTTTCCATTTTATCACTATGTAAGTGCCAGTTTCTACGTTAATGTACTTTCCAGGTTGTGATGATAATCCTCATATGTATCAAAAAGGTTAAGTGTTCAGCATGAATGTTCAGTTCAGCACCAGAAAACATGGTCCGACTTAAAAATATTTTTTTTTTCTGTTTAGACCACTGTTA